CACATTGGTGAAGATCCCATACCAGTAAATCACAAACAGTGAAAAATGTTATGTAGTTTATGGTTTATGCTTCTATTGACCGAAGACTTCTATATCGTAATAAAACAACCAGTCTATGATTATTTATTCCCACTTTTGTCTTTTCTTTACAGTCAACTTGTGAAATCATATTTTCTAGCCACTAGTGGTGCTTTGGCCACAGCATTGGGACTGAACAGTTTAGTAAAGGTAAGCATGCATGTTGTAGTGTTACAAAATGAGTTATATTTGCACTTTTAAGGTAGAGATGCAGTTTACCTGACAGGTATTTTAATTAGTTAATTAGGAAACCAAGATGACCTCCCTTGTCCACAAAACTATTTATTTTTGGAAAGCTTATTGTATAAATTTTTAAATTTTGCTTTTTTGGTCAAAGTTGATTTAAAAAAAATTAGCTTCTAAACCATGCTTCTGTTTTCTGTCAAAATTAGTTTATGGGTACATCTGTTTACTATGAAGAAAGTGCCGTCTTGAAAAACTGTCTACCAGCTGTCAATTTTGTAGGGCAGCAGCTCAAATTTCACTACTTCAAGTTTATGCATAAATTAACACCCAGGCTAGTTGTCTGTACGATTGTTGTAACACTGTTCAACCAAAAACAATGCCCGGACGGCGTTTTGAAGATAAACACATTGTCAATTATTTGTGAAAATTTCAAAACAAAAGGTCAAAGCGTCTAGGAGCTATTTTTTTTTTAAGTTATGGGATGTACACTAAAAACAAGCTGAGATAATTGCTAATTTGCATAACAATTCACTCAGTAAGAAGTTTGCTAATGCTCATAATTAAAATGGCTGTAACAGTTCCAAATTTAAATGTATTATCGTTCTGTTAAAAGTTAAATATAGTGCATAATATGGAGATCCCATCATTTCTTTTTTTCACCATGTTTCTTTCTTTATTATTTATGAACAGCCTTGCTAAATCTTGCTCAGCATTCAAAAGAGAGAATGTTTGCACCTGTTATCTATATTTTAAAATCATTTATGAGTATGTTCTACTATTCACAATTCTACAAAATTTCAACAGTCTATAGCCAAGACAATAACAATAAAAAGCAAAAAAAAAAAAAATTTACTCCCAAGTGCCCACGAACCTGCATCTCTACCTTAACACTAGTATTGGATGTTGTATATTGATAAATACTTTGTCTGTAGTG